ATGCAAGATGCTGCAGCACTCCGGGTCCTCGCGAGGGTTTGGTGGCCCAACAGCTGCCAGAGCTGACATGAGCTGTGACGAAAGATGGGAGACACTGAGTTCAAAGGAAATGTCTCTAAATTGTGACAAAGTTGATGTTAGATACTGCAACTAATTAAATTCAGGCAGCTTATTCCGTTTAAATGTGCAGTGGATTACCTCGTGAGTGCTCTGATCTTCCCTCCTCCAGCTATTCAGTATGTGAAACTCTGAATCACTCACAATGTAATTAACCTGGAAAATAAAGAGGCAGAAAATGTCAGTGGCACGGATGACATCAAAAGGTGGACATCCAGCATGCCCAGTCTCATAATTATATCACTTAGATGGACAAACAATAAAAAACAGACACTAACCAGTTTGTCCTTTGGATAAACATCATAAAGGATCCGGCAGTACTCCATGGAGCACTCCACAGCACATGTCCACAGAGACTTTGACACCGGGGCCAAAGGAATGACCCCTTGAGCTCGGCTCTTTGTCAGCACATCACACTCCACCTGCTGACGACTGGACTCTGCCATGTAGGGACAGTGATCCACTACGAAGACAGTCTTGTGTGCCACAGAGAACATCTTCATTTTGCAAATCTGCAGAGTGAGATAAACCATAAGAAAAACAGAGCCAGACAGGAATGTTAGCTGTCTATATATTTTGTTGTTTGTTTATTTTTGTTAGGAAACATGTAGGCCCCTGACACATTAAAGGAACAACCTGAACCTACCCCCTACAGTGAGGAGATTAGAAGAACCCAAGAAGGGTCTATTTCTGGCATGATCTGGGGCTACTATTATCCTTAACATGGACATTATGCTATGGCTTTTGCAACTACCACATCTCAGCAGTATAAAACACCTACAGTTGACATTTAGACAGTGTGCCACACCCCTCTATTGTGGTTCTACATAGTCCAACACTTTCCAATACAACCTGCTTGTTTTTTTTCTTTAATTAAAAGTGCAATAGGAAGAATAGTGTGCAGACAGGGTCGAGTGGATGGAGTATCAGGGGTGAGAAGGATAGGTTCACACGTATTGAGACTTGCTATGATGTATTTTTCAAAGATGGTGGTTCTAACAAAAAGACAGAAGGCCAAGCTGGAGGTGGCAGAACTGAAGATGCTAAGATTTTAAGTGAGATTGAAAAAAATAGACAGGATTAGCGATACAAAGGGTTGATGTTACAGACGTGAATGCCAGCAATGGGGTGAGATGGAAGATGAGCACCCAGAAGAAGAAGTAATTGTTTTGTTATGTTTTGTCCTGTCTTGTATCTTATTTAGACACAAGACAGGAAATGATCTCTAAATTGGGACATACACTTCTTCAAGCTTTCTAATAAACAAAACCTGGTTAAAACATCCCAAGAAGCCTAGATAAAATAACCCAGATGTCTTTGGAGTGAAATAAACCTATGCGCTAAACTTAGAAAGAATACATTTATGACCTCATATGACCTAAACCAAGTACGCATAGATTATATATTACTACAACCAATCTCTATGACTGTTCATATTCAGGTTGGGTCAATTTCCACCTCCGTTTTACAGCTATTTATTTTGACTCACCTGGTGGAAACCTTGGGAAGGTAACGCTTCCCTGTCTGGAAACAACATGAATCGTCTGAAAAGGTCCGGTATCTGTATTTTTCTAGGTCACACTCTGACTGTTAAACCCCCTCTCCGTCTGCAGCGCGATGATCCTGACGCGTTTCAGGACATGTTAATTAATATGCGAACGTCCAACGACCTGCTAAAAAGAGCATGTCACCGAGCAGCACGTTAGCCTGTCAGCTAACACCAGTCGCAACCATTTATTTGCTGATTCACGTTTATGACCGACGGTTTAAACAGTTAATGGTAGCATTTGCGTAATTCCAGGAAACACGTCTTCTAATTAACCAACTTCCAAACAACCGCTGCCTAGCAATTTTTTTGCAGACACTTGGGGGGGAAAAGTACAAACAATACAGTTCAAGTTGCTACAAGCTAGCAGGTTTGTTATTGGCGGAAATGTGTTGAGAGGTGTTCCGCCTCTTCTTCTTCTTTGACGTTCTAAAGCAGCTCACAGAGGTGGCGCTATATTACTGCCATCTTCTGGATTTATTAGTCACACGCATAGTTTTTTCCCCCGCCTATTTGTTTTGTTTTTGTTTGTTTTTGCTTGTCTGACATTGTTTTGTTTATAATCCCTTGTGTGAACGTAAGGAATGTGTTAATACGTGAAAGTCATTACTAAAAGCTTCTGAAACTTCTTTTATGTGCACTGTATAGTTTTCTTCTTCTTCTTCTTCTTCTTCTTCTTCTTCTTCTTCTTCTTCTTCTTCTTCATTCTATCTTCTATGGAAGCCACTGAAGAAAAAGCTTTTTCATCATCAGTAAGTTAAAAACTTAAATGTAACTTAAAGAATATATATTATATAAGGATATATAATTTCATAACTCAAAGGTTATGAGTTATATAGCTCTCAAAAGTTGACTAACTGACCAAGTATCCTGAAATCTGGGGGGGGGTTTCTGAGTAAATCAGCATTTCAAGATATATTAAAATTCTCATTGACAGACCAGTTCTCAGGGTCACCAAATTCCAATAAACTTTTTAAGGCCTACTTTTTTCTGTTTCTTAACCAACACAGTGCCATGCATATTCTTTTCTGTCTGTTGATTCCAGTACTGCCCCGGACAGTTTCATATTCATTAGAATTGCCCTTTCTCTTTCAGCAGATTAGCTGGTTGTTGGTTCGGCTTGTTGTTTCCTTTCTTGTTGCTTGCAATGCTCATGAAAACACTGCAGGCACTTAGTGTTAAGATTGGCTTATACATACATGCAGGTGCCTGATTTTACACTATACAGCATGGAAACAGAGTTATCCTTGGGTATCAAAACATCCTATTTTGTAATTTGTAGTAAACAACATCCTGCTATGATTTTCTTTCATGTGCACTGACTCCAGAAGTATTCACCTAGAGATTATAACACTGTTTCAGTGACACACTTTCCATATAATACCATAATCGTTTTTAGGTCTGCGCTTGCAGGCCTTGCTGATTCAGAGACTTATTCCCGTGAACAAAGCAAGACAAACAGAGATCAGTTGGTTTTAACTTGGACAAGAGGAGCCCAGTCGGAATCTCAGAGCTACAAGCTCTGCACCCAACCTCAGACGACTCCAACTCTGGCCCGGCCCCCTCTTGCTGGACTAGTGCAGCGCAGATACTGAAGGACCCGTCCCACCCTGACAACAAACTGTTCCAACTTCTGCAATCCGGTAGAAGGTTTCACATCATCCGGGCAAGGACAGAGAGACTCAAGAGGAGCTTCTATCCCCAAGCCATCGGGCCCTGTTTTGCTCTATAATAGTTTAGAACATGTGTATCTGCAACAGTGAATGTGTCTGTGAGCATGTGATGTGATCAGTGAAATGTGAGTGTGTGTGTGTAGAAAACAAGGTGCTAAAGATCTAATCATCTTACACAATGACAACCATATTGATCCACAATTCTCTAACAATCGTCTGTCCCTAAATTTAATTTTCCCTGTTCAAATTCCACTGTAATTTAATGTAGGTGTATTTTGATGCTAATAAATTTATGCTACTACTGCATTATAATGCAGTAAAGTCATATATGACTTTTACTTTAAACATAGAGTCTATATACTTCTTTTACTGCCTGAGAAAAAAAATTATTACACCGTGAAATTCTTCAAATCGTTTTTCTATCATCTTAGGATATATTTAAGATATATATAAGATCTACTTTGAAGATCTATCATGTCTGGATTGTGCTAACAGCCTTTTTTTCTTTAGAAAAAGAAAACAAAAGAATATGTTTAATGAGTGCAGGCTGTGCAGAACTCAGAGATCACATCACTCCTGTTTTAGCTTTTTGATACTGGAACTTTTAAAGCCTTTCCTCCCAGCTACATCTCTGACACCTTAGTACCATATGCACCACCACCTACCTTGAGCCCCCTGTTTCAAGAGCCCACCTAAAAATCTAAGGGCACACTTTCAATCCAACTTGTATTTGTGCAAAGAAATCAAATTAGAAGTATGATACTTTAATAAATAAACAAAACATATAGCAGCTTAATGTCTTAAAAAATGTAAAGTAAATACTATTATTTTTATTTTTAAGTATAATATCTAGGGGTTTTTGTTTTTGTTTTAGTCAAAGCCACAGGGAGCCACTGGGGATGGGCAAAAAAAGCCCATATAAATATTGGCAATCACTCTCTTTTTTTTTTTGGCAAACAAAAAAAAGGAAAACAAAAATCGTCATCAAGAGAACTGTAGGCCTCACTTGCCTCAGTTAAGGTCAGAGTTCATGATTCAACAATTAGAAAGAGGCTGGGAAGGAATGGCATCCATGGAAGAGTTCCAAGAATAAAACCACAGAGGCTTGTCTCACATTTGCCAGAAGACACCTGGGTTATGTAGGTTAAATAGGTTAAATAAATAGGTTAAATAAAGTGTTTTGAAGTGATCTGATCAAAATTTGGACTTAAATCATGTTGAGATGCTCTGGAATTACTTCTTCGCAGCGCTGTATCATATCCGCAAACCCAAATGCAGTCACTCCAAACAGTTTATAGCATTTAAAAAGGAAACAGAGCATTATGATAAAAGATTACATTACATATTTACTCCCCTGTCCTTGTATTAGTTGCTGACATTGTTTACTGTAGTTGCTAATAAAAAGTTTCATTAGAGGGGAAAAAAACACTGGAGACTTTTTTTTAAAGAAAGTTGTGTAACTGATAGAAGATTTTCTCTTAAATTGAATGTGAATTATATCAACAAGTATCTGGTCAAGGCCTGGAGAGCTGAGGTCCATGCGCAGAATTATTAATTATGAAAATGTTGATGGGTACAAACCAGAAGAAAGCTACACAGCGTCAGATAACCAACTTTTATTTGAACACTCTCCTCCTCCTCCTCCTCCCCCGCCCCCCTCCAGCCCCACCCGTTTCACACTCGTACAAGTCACTGCATGAAAACTTTACGCGCACTGAACCAACGCTGTGAACTGAAGCAAGAATGCGCGGAGGCTGTGCCTTGAAATCAAAGTGAGAATCGGCACGCTTGTTGGTTTCCGGGTGTATAGTTTTTTTTTTTTAACTTTTTGTTTGGGAAGTGATGACACTGGAGCTGTCGGCAGGACTATGAGCGACCACGACATCCTCGAGATGGAGTCCGACATGGAGGATCTGGGGGATATAGAGCTGGGCATGATAGATGAGGAAGTTGGTGAGAGAACATGGTCTTTTGCAACAGTTGTCTGCATGCTATTCCGGAGCGCGGACTCGGTCTGGGTTTTATCCTCGTGATGCTGTGGGTCCTTATCGAGACAGCCGTCGATATTCTTAGGCCACGTTATCTCCGGGAACTCATCTTTTGCTACTCTGTAGTGGAGAAATTATTACTATTGTAACTCCTTTAAACAAAGTCCCCTTTCTCTTATGTATTCTGCACTCCGGTATAGTTAAGATATTTACTTTTTACTCTATAATATGTAGTCCCAGTATGGCGCAAATACAGTGTTGCTCAAGGATAGATGACGGTGTGCAGTGTTACAGATTGATCAGGAATGAGCATGTGCAGAGAGACAATTGAGCACCAGTGGAGGTGTGGTGCACAATACAGCTTCGGATATCTCCAAGAACCCAAGATTACAAATGACTATAGTTTCTCGGTATTCCTAGATCTCCCTTGCTACCACACAGAAACACCTCTCAGCGAGCTTTTGTTGTTCGGATTTTTCACACTCTGCAAACCGAAACCATAACTCCGCTGTTGAACAGAATGTCTCCTGGGCTCGTCTTCATCTCTGTACCCAGAGTAGATTCTGCTGCAGTGTTTCTATGAAATCTATATCATACCTGTCTCATCTAAAGTGACGCAGGCCTATCGATGACATGTTTTTTCTCTCTCCCTTTGTTCACTGATGTCTTGGATAATAGATCATAAGATAAGATCATAAAATAGATCACGAAGAGCATCTCACTGTAAAGGCACTCTAGTCTAATGGAGGGTTCGTTTCATTACAATCATTTTACAGGACTGTGGTGGTCAGTGCATTCACCAACAAAGTAGTCTTAATGAACGTCAAATGTAAAATGGTCACACTGGCTGTGGTTGAGGTGGTGTCAGTCACTTTGGCTTCTTACCCAGCTTTCTTTTTTATGCTTGAGTAAGCATGATGCTTGATCTCAATACAGGCACAGTTGCTGAAGGTGCACCGGATGTACCCATTTTACTGAACCGATCGAACGAAGATGAGAAAATCAGGTTTAAGCACTTTATATACAGCCATATTTGTGTCCTGACTTGCAATAGAGCTGGTGCTCGATTTTTATCTGTTGTGAAACGTCCCCTGAGATCGAGCAGAAAAGCAACTCCTGCCGTTTCGTAAGATACTTTTTTTTAAACCATCTTCGGCCTCGCCTCTGTCAGTGCGCCCCAGGGTGGCTGTGGCTACAATGTAGCGTGCCATCACCAGTGTGTGAATGGGTGGGTGACTGGATGTGTGAAGCGCTTTGGGGTCCTTAGGGACTAGTAAAGCGCTATACAAATACAGACCATTTACCATTTTTACCATTCAAAATTATTATTATGTACGCCTTAAAGTCACATACCTAGGCACCACAATGCTTCAAAAGCTGTTTTTTCCTTTTCTTTTAAGGAATAATCCATTTTCCTCTCATTGTTACATGTGCCTTTTTTTCTTTTTTCTTTTTTGTACATTGATGTGTCGGATGTACTCTAAGGAAGGAAGTAGCCTGCGACTGGGTTAGTGGTTTCTGACAAAATAAAAGATTTCAGTTGCATGCTTTTCAAATGACTCACACTTTCTGAATCAGTTATGGTTGCAGAGGTTCTGTAACAGCGTTTGTGTTCGGAGACTGACGATTTTAGATGAATGTGTGTCTGTCTGAACTGCTTAAAACCCGGGCTGTATGTTATGTCACTGCACTTTGTGGGATGACTGCAGTATAGAAGTCAGACCGTGAGCCTGCTTGAAGACTTTCAAAGGAGAAATTGTTGATTTTAAGAGCAGTGTTTCTTCCTCACGCTCCCTCAGCATGTTACTATGGCCTGTGTTATGAAAACAACATCTGTCTCCAGTTAGTTTTCTTTTCCACTTTATATGGAAACACTGCAAGACTTCCCATATTTGATTTTTAGGTCATCTGTTTTTTTTAAAATAAGGGACAAAAGATTTATGAGGCAAATGGGAGAGGCTGCAGTGTTATTTTTATTATGTATTTTCTTGTTTTGACGTAGTCTGTGGTGGGAAAGTATGTATGTTGAGCAGCGGAATTTCTATTTTGTATCAGGGGATTTATAGAACAATTGTGGTGAGTAGGACGTTTTGTGCAAGCAATAAATCAGCGAGAGAGTGTGATGTTAAAGGAAGTGAAAAGCAGTCTGTGGTGCTTCAGTGAGCACTGCAGAGCTAGAGCATTAGCTATAACTCAGTGGAAAACAAAGGTTAAAGAAAAGCGGGTCAGTAGTCCTTAAGAATGCTGTAGACTGGTGGGGAATAAAAAGCTGGAATGGAATAGGGAATGAAGCTCCAGTTGAGTCATTTTGTAGGCAAAACAAACAAGAGTTCACTGATTTAATTGAAAATGAACTTCAGTTGTTTTCTACAGCATCTGAAAAAGTGGTTGGGTGGAGTATGTGAGCTGTTTCTGGGCTCTAAAGTGGGGAATGCCAGAAAAAACGTTCAAGAATAACTGCTCTTTCAGCCTACTGATGCATATTTCCATCAACAATAAGCTCCTATAAGTAGATACCTTCTTAATATAATATATGGGATCTTACCTTTTGCTTTGTTTACCTTAGGTGACTAAACCATTTGTACTGTAGGACCATAACTCAGTGTAACTATAAGTTACTGTACTGTCCTTAACTATACAGAACTGTTATAATCAGTAGTATATGCATAAACATATATGTACACCTATTAGAGAGCATAATTTACCTAGTTTATGGGCTAAACTGATATTTTAGACACATTTAATTTAAAGGGCACACATGCTTTTCCTTTTTCTCTGGCACATTTTTGCTGTACTATGAGAGATAGTCACATTAAACATGGCCAAAAGTCTCACAAAATAAGGTCAGAATATGTGCATCCAGTCCTTATGAGTCAAAAGCTTAGGGCACACACTTTTATTCTGTTTTTTATGTTTGTTTAATTCTACTTTAAGGGGAATCCCCTCACTCAGTCATGGCTGTCCCCACCCACCTGTTGGTCAAAGATAACTTAAAGGGACGAGACCCAAAATAGCCACTGGAGTGACAGAGAGTTCGGATATAGAGATATATGAGGACCATTCTGAACTGTAAATCATAAAGCGCTATTCTGCTAAAGTTGTATATGAGCATCAGCCCTTTCATAACAGGTTTATGACCATATGACAACGCTGTAAAAGAACAGCGTTGTAACCGTGCTTTCAGTCCATATCTGTCATTGCCTTCACAGCTGCGCCCTCCCATGATTTTATCTTGTGGAACTCCAATGAAATCAAAATCTCCTCACAGACATATGAACACCCGTGTCTGTTTTTATGTGCATGCCCCAGCAGGCGTACAGACACACTCATCCTCTCTGTTGTGGCTGACAAAGATATGTATTAGGACAAACATGAGATGCAGGTCAAACTGCAAATAAAAGACTAAAAAAGAAATAGTAGCAGCATAACTTCTGTGCTATAAATGCAACAGAAGTTCATACAATATAAAATCTATATAATCTGCTAGTAATGCATCTTCTGCAGTACTTAGTCTGCATCCACTTAATCATGGACATTTGGATGTTTGGCTGGACATGGATAATTTCAGGCTTTCAGTGAATTATCTGGCTGGAATGATTTTACAGCATGCATATTTAATGGCTTTAAAATAAACAAGAACTGGTTACACATGGTGAAAATTACACACATATAACACCCAATTGTTTCAATAATTCAGCCACAGATTTGAGGTAAAGTTAAAGAATTTGGGGCTAGTCCTCCTTTTTCATTGTTCCATCCACTTTTTGTAATGCACCAGTACCGCTGGCAGCATAACAGCCCCCAGAGCGTGTTCAGTGTTCTTGGGTTTGAAAGTCTCACCTTTACTCTTCCAAGCACACCTCTTGTCATTGCTGTCATGGCTATACAACTTTTCCCCTTCAGACCATAAAACCTTTCGCCAGGCGTAATCTGGTTTATGTGGGCAGGTGCAAATTTCAGTTGACCTTGCACCTCCTCTCAGTCAACGGCAATGCAAAACAGACTCTACTGTGGTGTTCCAGCAGTTTCCAGTTCAAAGCAGTGTTTAGCCTTGGTTTGTATGTTCTCCTGAAAATCCTAACTAGGGCTGCCACAAAAGATTATTTTGATAGTTGACTAGTCACTGATTATTAGTCGACTAATCAGATCATGCATCCACTGGACGTAAAGCATGTCACACTTCTGATAATCAATTGTCTGCTTGATGTTTATTCAGCTGTGTAAAAACTATAACTTTAATCTCAGCCAAACAGATTTAATCAGGAACAAATAATATACTGAAAAAAGCCAAACAATAACATTTTTAAGTTTTGTAAGTGACTTATATATCATGTTTAACGTGAGTAGCGAAAGACGGCCGTGGGTTTGAAAACGATTTGCTGGTGTTGTGCCAAAAACTGATTTCCGGTATTTGCCAAAAACTTGTTGGTCTATAATATGTGAAACATATGTCAAATATATCCCTCATGAATTATATCAAGTCATCTTGAGCAACAAACAACATTTGGTGGCTCAAGAGTTGGCAGTTTGTCTTGTAAATGGTAAATGGCCTGCATTTGTATAGTGCTTTTCTAGTCCCTAAGGACCCCAAAGCGCTTCACACTACATTCAGTCATTCACCCATTCACACACAGGCGATGGCAAGCTACATTGTAGCCACAGCTGCCCTGGGGCGCACTGACAGAGGCGAGGCTGCCGGACACTGGCCCTCTGACCACCACCAGTAGGCAAACATGGGGTTAGTATCTTGCCCAAGGATATTTGACATGCAGCCAGGAGGCAGCCTGGGATCGAACCGCCGACCTTCTGATTAGTGGCTGACCTGCTCTGCCACCTGAGCTTCCGATTACCTCGGAAGGTAATCGGAAGGTTGCCGGTTCGAGCCCCGGCTCCGACAGTCTCAGTCGTTGTGTCCTTGGGCAAGACACTTCACCAGTTGCCTACTGGTGGTGGTCAGAAGGCCCGGTGGCACCAGTGTCTGGCAGCCTCACCTCTGTCAGTGCGCCCCAGGGTGGCTGTGGCTACAATGTAGCTTGCCATCACCAGTGTGTGAATGGGTGGATGACTGGATGTAGTGTAAAGTGCTTTGGGGTCCTTAGGGACTAAGTAAAGCATTATACAAATACAGGCCATTTACCATTCCTGTAACAAGGTAGAAGCTGCAATCAGTTTTTGGCAGTGAGTTTTATGTATCCTTTATTTATGCAGTTAAAAAAAATTCTTGTTTACTTTAAAAATGTCTCTTTTAAGAGTAATCTGGCCAAGAGGACAGTTGAAATTGCAACAAATGCAAAAATAGTTCTGTAAAGATATTTTAAGTGGACAAAAGGAAGGTGATTGATTATAATGTAATTACAATAACACAGTTACAAAGATACTTGAGAAACAGGTAATTTTTTATTTTATATATAACCCCTTTGTAATACCTGTTCACCGAAGTTTATTTAGCAACATACATAACAATATTACACATAAAAAACACACGGAAACATTGGAAATCACTTTTTGGCACAACACCGGGAGTCCGGTGTTCTCACCGGCTCTAGTGAGCCTTGAGCCCCGGCTAGCTATCAAGCTGGTGAGTAACAAACGCCTCCGAAAACATCGGAGCGCTTTTGAAAATATGTGGTGTCTTGATAAACTGAGCAAATATTTGAAGTTTACACAGCTACATTCTCGCCTGAAAATATGTTAAACGTTTATTTTGTGACCCAGAAAGAATAATAAGAGTAATATTAAAACTAACTAGCTGCCGCCATTGTTGGAAACTGAGCAGGGCCGCGCTATGAATTCTGGGATAGGTTGGGCCACGAAGTATACACCCGACCTATCCTTCAAATCTGGGGAAATGAAGGGAGCATTTGCACGATCTTGGAATCTGCAATTAATTAGAAATGTCTTTCCAAAGTTGTGACAGTTAGTGACAATGACAGTTTTCCTCCTTAGTGTCAAGACTAGTGAGTTAAACTCAGAGTGCAGGTTTATTGCTGGGAAAATTCTTCATAGAAATAACATCACCAAACGAACTCAAATCACCAATACGGGACTAGACACTAAACTGGGCACTGAAACCTAAAACTAGAAAACCTGAGGAAACAAACCAGAACTAAGAGTGAGGAAATTTACAGGAAAATGAGGGTTGAAAACACAGCAGGAAGTGAGGATTTGGAAACAGGAAGAAACACAGCTGGGACAAATCAGACATAATGAGACGAGGGAACGCAAAACTAGATACCCTGGCATAGGAGACACACTATCAAAATAAAACAGGAAATACACCATGTACGCACAGACACGGACTCAGAGACACAAGCTTAACACTACGATAATACTGATACGGTACAGAGGGAACATAAGGACAGAGATGACCAGACAGGAGACGTGGGACCAGGACAGGCACAGAGAGACACAGACTTGATACTGAACAGAGGGAACACGGAGTACAGGGACAGGAATGACATGAGACACGACCGACAGGGGAACAAGAGAATAAACACGAGGGCAGAATTAAACCGAAGAACTAGAAATCACAAAGCCAGAAGAACTAAAGATCTAGAAATACAAAACAGAAACCAAACCCCTAATAGTCATGAACCACGATGAAATCAAAAATGAAAAAACAAAATTCAAAACACTGGGTCACCCACCCAGGACTGTGACACTTAGATTTTCAGAGTTCCTTCAATTTTCCTGTTGTTTTAAGTATCGGTCCAAGATTGCTGACAAAAACAAATTATTTCTGTGCTAGCAAAGAGAAACTACCATTTTGGGGTGGCTGTAGCTCAGGAGGTCATCCGCTAATCGGTTGGTGCTTCAGTCTATGCGCCAAATATCCTTGGGCAAGATACCAACCCCAAGTTGCTCAATGATGCATCCATCGGAGTGTGAATGTTAGACAAAAAGCAATTAACCACTGTTAAAAGTGCTTATATGAATGGTGAATCCTCATTCACCCAACCAGTCCATTTACCAGTTCTAGTCAATCACAATCACATAACCTCTGCCAAGTCATTAAAAGACTGAAGCGCATTTATATATTTGAGTATCTGAATTTTTGAGTCTATATGTATAATTTTTACTCTGTGAGAAAATCCAAAAGAAACTCAAACTTGTGCACCACACTCTTGTTTTTAAAGATGAATGCTGTATCACCATTCCACTCTGGAGAAAGAACAAGCCAAAGAAATCATTAAAAGCCCCAAATTCCCTGATATTCATGCCCATGATAAGTTTATGCAAACCTCTGTCCAAAACTGCATGTCTGTTCTTTGTTCATTGTTGCA